TCGTTGTGCAGCCTCTCAAGCAGCTTTACCTGCAAGTATCTAGGCATCCTGCCTCCCCTAAGTGCTCCCATTGTCCTTTTAGGGGCTTTGTTTAGGTTTGAGGATTGCTTCAGAGAGCTTGACACTCTGACAAGTCTGAGACATTTTGAGATGTTTCATAATCTAACATAAATCTATCAACCTCCAGAGGCTGCTAAAACAAATTCTAAAAAATTTGGGTGAGACTACTGTGCCCTGCAGTGTGGCATGGCCACTTTGGGCAGGAGGATGGCATCAAGGAGGAACAGTATTGCTTGTTTATCTCTAATTGTAATTAACATGTAATTGTGCTGTTAATAGGCCTCTTTCCCTCCATGCACCCCCATGGGCATGGACAGTGCTAAAAGCATGTTTCAAACACGTTTGCTCTTTTTCCTGCTGCCACTTCCAAGGCTCTCTGTAGTGCTGTGGGTTCTGCCCTTTGTGCTGAGGTGTCCATGGGCAGCAGTGCAGCTCCTGTTATTTTGGTTGATGAATCTCCTGCATAGCTGGCTTTTCATCTCCTTGCACAAGGCTGCTTCTGCCTGTAAGGAACTCCACTGGATCTTCAGTGGGTGCATTTTGTAGGTCTGGTCAAACAGCATAAACCTTCTCAATTGTCCCTAAGCAGTCATGGGTCAGTGGCTCTTCTCCTTGCCTTGGGGTTTCCAGGAACTGCACTGGGCTTACTGCTGTGGTTACTTTAATTTCCACATCTTCTTGCTCCATTAGAACAGATGGATCCTTCTGCATGTGACCTGGGGGAAGGCAGTGTCCCCCTTTTGTCCTGATGCAGCATGCAAATTGAGCACCAATGTCTTTTGTCCCAAATTCCTGGCCTCTTGGATGAGAACAGTCTCAGCTATGGCTAACAGGCATCAGGGCCACCCACGGCTGACTTTTTCTAGTTGTTTCCAAAAGTACCCCACAGGCCTCTTGAAGTTTCCTACCTTCTGAGCCAGAGCTGCCTCCAAGGGTGAGGGGCTGCTGTTTATGCACAAAAAGTTCAAGGTTTTGTTAAGTCTGGAAGTCCTGAGGCGGGTGCAGACATCAGGGCCAGCTTTAGGCTACAGGATGCATATTCACCCTCAGGAGTCCAAATCAAAAGTCCTTCCCAGGCCTCCTTTAAAAGCTCATACAATGGTTTGTGACCAAAATTCTGTAATTTGAGACCCACAATCTGCATCACCCAGCCACACCTGAGGCTGCTGCTAAATCTTGGGCAGGCTCAGGTTGGAATACGTGGCAGATTCTTCTTCTCTGTCCATTCCCAAACTCCACTGCTCTGGTACTGATTCAAATCCTAGGGAGGTAACTTGCTGCCTCATGATTTAAGCTTTTTCCTGAGATGCTTGGTAACCTCCTTGGAGTAGGAAATTTAGAGCACTCACAGTCAGTTCCATACATGTTTCACTAGGTTCAGTTGCTAGTAAGATATCATCAGCATACTGCAGGACCAACCCTTCTGCGTTCTCTTTTTTCCAGACCTCTAATTCTTTTGCCAGCTGGTTCCCAAAAATCATTATATCTTTTTATAATCTTTATATCTTTGCAGTCACACAGTTCAGGTAAGCTGAGTCTTCCAACCAGTTTGGGGGTTTTCCCATTCAAAGGCAAAAATGCCATGACTTTGCTTATCAAGAGGAATGCAAAAGAAGGCATCCTTCAAATCTATCACTTTAAACCACTAGTGATTTTCCCTGAAATTTTCTGTTAGGCTCTTGATTTCCCTAATTTTAAAGGATGTGATTTCTGCCTTACCAGTCTTGATCCAGTTTTTAGGACAGCACAGGCTGAACTTTTTGGGAGTAGCCTGGAGTTCCACTGGCTCAAACCAGTAACCAGGGATGTTACTGCATTTGCTGCTGCTTCTGGGTATGCCTCCAGAATTGTCTGGTTCTGGTGTTCCCTGCAACATAAAAGTCCTTCTTTTGATGGCTTTATTCTCAGGTACCAATAATTGTATTTTTCCATCTTTAAATACAATCTGAGCCTCCAATTTACTTAACAGGTCTCTTCCTAAAAGAGGAACCACACACTCAGGCATATATAAAAATCAGTGTATTATCCACTGTTTTCTGAATTTAATGGGGTTAAAGAATGTTTCTTTTTCCACTTTTCCTGTTGCACCAACAATATTTACAGTTTCTTGGCTTATTTTTCCCTGGTTTGTATTTAATACCAAGTAAGTGGGCAGAGTGTCTATTAAAAAGTAAATTTTCCTCTTCCCCGGCTCTATTGTAACCAGGGATTCAGCTGTGGATTCTACCCCTGGTCCCCTTCATTCCTGGTGCAGGGGTAGGTCTGTTCCCTCTGTCCCCATCTGCCTCTGGGGACATTCCTGTTCCCAATGCCCAGACCATCTACAATATGCACATTATTTAATCTTCAATCCCCCTTCAGTCCTGGGGGACTCAAACCCCTTCAATGACAAATGGAGTGCCCACATGGCACAGGAAAAAGGGGTGAATAAATGCTAGATATTGAACTGTCAGACCTTAGTCACTCCCCCTCCCCACCCACCAACAGAACAAAACAGCCAAAATTCCGCAGAAAGAAAAAAACCCACAACAGCTGGGAACATGGTAGGAAAAGGTTTTTAGGGCTTTTTTTTTCCTGTCTCAAGGACTCAAACCCCTTTACTGACAAATGGAGTGCCCACATGGCACAGGAAAAAGGGGTGAATAAATGCTAGATATTGAACTGTCAGACCTTAGTCACTCCCCCTCCCCACCCACCAACAGAACAAAACAGCCAAAATTCCGCAGAAAGAAAAAAACCCACAACAGCTGGGAACATGGTAGGAAAAGGTTTTTAGGGTTTTTTTTCCTGTCTCAATTAAAAAAAAAAAAAAAAACCTAAAAAAAACCCTAAAAAAAACCTAAAAAAACCAGAGTGTTCATGCAGCAGCTTGAGCAAAAGCAGTTGGGAACCTGGTGAATCCCTGATGCTGGTCTCCTCTTCAAATAAATTGGAGCAGGTGGATTTGGTGGATTTGGTGTCCTTTTCTTTCACTGGCTCAGATATTATGAAGTCAGGGGCCGAGATGGAGCAGCCTTCTCTGGCCAATTCTTCTCCCAGTGGTCGTTCTCTCTGATCTCAGACCAGAACCAAACTGTACATTTCCCTTTAAAGAAAGCTGCCAAGTGATCACTGCCACAGCCTCTCCAAGGCCAGGGAAAGGGAACAATACTTCTTGCCTAAGCTAACAGAAACCAAGCTAGCCAAGCAAAAAAGAAAAAAAGAATGCAGTCTGCACAGCACCACAGATGCCTGGGGAGTGATGCTTTGAAAAAGGCCAAGGAAGGGGGGCTTACCCTCCCACCCCCCACCAGACCCACCTTAGAGGTACAGCAACCATTTTGGGCATAAAACAGATGAGCAGGGAATAGATTAGAATCATAAAATCACCCAAGACACTGGTTTACTTTCAAACCAGCACAGCACCAAAAAATGAAGTTACTTGAGTGTAACCAAGGAATAACAATATGGTTTTTTTGCCAGAGTTGCTCATATTTGGATGTAAGAGGAATAGGCATTTTAAAAATGCGTTGGTGGCCTGTTCCAGACAAAATGGGATACCACTGGCTTAGCAAAAATCAAGCTAAAAAGCTTAACCCTGTAAATGGAAAGGAGTATGCACCTGTAGTTGGGGAATATTTGGACTGTAGTTCCAGAAAAGTTCTCAAAAGAATAGCTGGCTATTCCAGCTTGTTGCCTACATGGTGCTGATCACCATTGTTAGGGTACCAGGTAAATTCAGTTTCATTAGTGATTGTTGCATTTTTGATGTCTTATAAGTTTCTTTTTATAGACTGCTATGAGTTTGTTGCCAGCAAATTTTACTGAAATTTGTTCCCTGCTGACTTTTTCCTCTTTTCCTGGGTAGAAAAACCTGAAACCTGGTTGGTGGGAGGGATAAGGATGGTAATATGTATGCTTAGTTGGGTTCTGGTGGTGCCTGGACCTCTAAGGGTATGGCTCTGAAAAGCAAGGCAGCCTTAGTTTGAACTCACAAACCTATTATCAAGCCAAGCTTATGAGTCCAAGAAGCATGAAAAATAGTTTTGTAAAATTGTCTAACATTCAAGAATGCTGAACCTCACCAAAGACTGTTATATTGAGTGACTTAGGTTACAGTGTAAGATGTAACCAAAAGCATGTATTATACCACAATCTTCATAAGTTGTTCAAACCAGGTGGGGCAATCTTTATCTCTTCTTTATCTCTTCCAGAACTCATCCCTGATAACTCCCTCAGGGGAGTTATCTTCTGTTAGGTGGGAGGGATAAGGATGGTAATATGTTATGGTAATTGGGTTCTGGTGGTGCCTGGACCTGTAAGGGTATGGCTCTGAAAAGCAAGGCAGCCTTAGTTTGAACTCACAAACCTATTTTCAAGCCAAGCTTACGAGTCCAACAAGCACAAAAAATAGTTTTGTAAAATTGTCTAACATTCAAGAATGCTGAACCTCACCAAAGACTGTTATATTGAGTGACTTAGGTTACAGTGTAAGATGTAACCAAAAGCATGTATTATACCACAATCTTCATAAGTTGTTCAAACCAGGTGGGGCAATCTTTATCTCTTCTTTATCTCTTCCAGAACTCATCCCTGATAACTCCCTCAGGGGAGTTATCTTCTGTTAATGGCCCATTGAGTGTCCCTGCATGGCTGATAAAATTCCACCATCCCATTGTGAGATGCTCCACCCAAAGGGAGGAGCCAAGCATTCCAAACTGGATATAATCTGAGCTGTGGAACACCCCAGGCAGCTTTGCCTACTGGACTTCCAGAGGACAAGAGCCACATAAGCACTCCTGGACCTTCAGAGGAAGAGCAGACCCTTCTCCAGGATCCCTGCTCCAACAGAACCGCAGCTGTCACTGCAGGAGGGCTGCAGCCACCACCCTGACCCACATTCTGACTCTGTCAGATTAACCCGGTGTTTTCTGCCTTTATTTTCTAACCAGCAGCAGAGGATGGCTGAGGAGAGCAGTGTCTGCAGCTTTGTGTTCAGGAAGCGGGTCCGCGCCGCGGGCAGCGGCCGGCGGAAACGGGCTGGCAGCGAGCAGGAGCGGGACAGCAGTGGGGACGAGGGCAGCGCCGTGGTCAGGAGGAAGTTGCCCAGGAACACCCCCAACCCCATGATCCAGAGGACCAGGCGCTGCATGAGGGAGAGGCCGGAGTATGCAGGGAGCAGCAGCGAGGATGAGGATCCTGCCACGGAGATCGGGGTCACCTACAAATCGAGCAGGTCGGCAAAACCTGTTGGCCCAGAAGACATGGGGGCCACAGCAGTGTATGAACTGGACACGGAGAAGGAGAAGGATGCCCAGGCCATCTTTGAGCGCAGCCAGAAAATCCAGGAGGAGCTGAGAGGAAAGGAAGATGATAAAATTTACCGTGGCATTAACAACTACCAGAAGTATGTGAAGCCCAAGGACACATCGATGGGAAACGCCTCCTCAGGAATGGTCAGGAAAGGCCCCATCCGTGCTCCGGAGAACCTGCGGGCCACGGTGCGCTGGGACTACCAGCCTGACATCTGCAAGGACTACAAAGAGACCGGGTTCTGCGGCTTTGGGGACAGCTGCAAGTTCCTGCACGACCGCTCGGACTACAAGCACGGCTGGCAGATCGAACGGGAGCTGGACGAGGGCCGCTACGGCGTCAGCGGCGATGAAAACTACGAGGTGAGCAGTGATGAGGAGGACATGCCTTTCAAATGCTTCATCTGCAGAGGTTCCTTCAAGAACCCCGTGGTCACCAAGTGCCGGCACTACTTCTGTGAGAGCTGCGCCCTCCAGCACTACCGCAAGTCCCAGCGCTGCTACGTCTGTGAGAAGCAAACCAACGGGGTCTTCAACCCTGCGAAAGGGCTGATGGCAAAATTGGAAAAACACAAACGGGAGGAAGAAGAGGAGCAACAGTCAGACCATGAAGAGGATCCACAGTAGCAGAACACATTCTGTACATAATGGAATAAAGCTTTTGTAGGAGGAAAAAAACCAAAAAAACACAGAGTGTGGGGTGAGTGTATACCACCCACGTAAGTCCTGGGTATTCTCATGTTTTTCCATCACATTCAACAAGAGCTAGCATTCTGACAGTTTGTCAGATGCAGAATGCTGTCAGCAATGGCAGGACAATCTACCCATCACCCTACTTGAACCCCAAGACTCAGACATTTGAGAAACATCAATACCAGAAGGATGTGTTTTTTAATTGAGATGGTTTTGAGTTGAATAGTTTCTTGTTTGTAGTGTTGAGTTGTAATTTCTAGATAAATTTGGGATATGGGGGACTTAAGGATTTTGTCTGTGTAAGGATATGGGTCATAAACCTGAACTAAAACTGTTTCTTCTGTTAGTTGTTTTTTCCTGACAGTTCTAAAGTTGAATTGTTGCTTGTTTGTAGTGTTAAGTTTTAATTTGTAATTTCTAAGTAGTGAGCCTGCAGCATGCTAGCCTGGAAGATTGTATTGCTGGTGATCTTGTTTGACAGCTCCTGGATGATACATCCCTGCCTAAGGGTCTGGGCTTCTCCAGCTGGGTGGAAAGCCTTATTTGAACTGGGCTTATCATCCGTGGCATCATGCTGTCTTTGTCACCCTGATCTGAAGCTGCCCCCCAAACTCAACCAGTCTAGAAGAAAACAAGTGCCTGGATGAACAAGGATAGGCTGTATTCAGATCTACACAGGGACCCTCAGCCGATGTCATTCAGCCCTAAATGCAGATGTATCGTTAGCCAGAGAGCTGGATGGTGCTAAGACCTCAATGAATCACACGTGTAAGCTTGGGGAATTTGCAGCTCCTATAAAAGGAACTGTGAGAATAAACCTGAGGCTGTTTTTCACAAGGACCTTTGGGAGTTGTGTCGTTTGTATGTCTCTGATGAATCACCCCACCATAACACTGTCTGCAAAGGGTCCTGCAGAGGATGACAAAGAACACTTTGCCCTTTTTAAACAGAGAAAGGGGAAACTGCCACAGCCACAACTGGCCTGTGGGCTGTACAGATAAATTTGCCATAACAGACCTTAACTTGACCAGCCTAGCTGTTACAGGGTAGAAGTAAATGAGTCCCCAGGATAAGACAATCATAGGCTGGATTTGACCTCAAACAGGGACACCAGCCAATCTCATTCAAGCCTGAATACAGACAGCTAAGTCTGCACTGAGGCCACTGAGCTGGGTGGTGTTAAGACCTTGACCAACCAGATGTGTAAGCACAGGAATTTTGAAACTCCTATAAAACAATTATTGAGAATTTTTTGAGATTATTTGTAAATTTAGCAAATTAGCATAATTGACGAGAATTTCCAGTTAGAAGTACAGTTACTGAAGTAATTCCCCCTCTTGGTTTGGCCCCCTACTGAAGACTCCCCTTTGCTTCTAGCTTCACATTGTTTATATCTAAATACATGGGAAAGTGGAATGGCTCTGATTCACTGAAGAAGCAAGATTAGAACAGGATTCCAGGAATATGTGTGTCTAACACAATACTGGAATTAGCTGAAGAAACTATACAATAATAGTCTACAGAGCTACAAATATATGAAAAATATATAAAATGCAAAAATCTTTTGGCATCAATGGTATAATTGGATAATGAAAAAAAATTACTAGTGATGGTATAATTTGCTACCCTTTATTAAATACACGTCTGAAGTTATATAAGTGAATTTCAAAAGTGGGTTTGAGTCTTAGTGCCAGGTTAAAAGTATAAAATTGTCATCATTGTGTAAGAAATGACACAAACTCTCCAGAAGGTTGGTTTGCATGGAGTGTGCATCTTTACTTTGGATCCTCTTTTATACATTGTTCCAGTACAGATAGACCTGGCTGGTCAATTAATCACTACATTTCACCTGATTGGCTAATTAACAAGATGCCTTTCTTATAAACAATCTTTGAGAAAAACAAGAAAACAGAGAGTAGAAAACACCACCTGCAGGTTGTTTATTACAATAAGCTATCATTGTTTACCTTCAGCTCCCTAAAGTCTTTCAGGCTGATTCTGGGAAAACATATCTGGTTTTCTCACTCTCTGACCGGGCTGTCACATCCCCCTTTTTGTTTAAAGGAGGAGGCAGTGTTTGATATCCTCTGCAGGGTCCTTTGCAGAAAGGAGAACAAACAGAGATGCAGAGGTTCCTCTAGCAGTTGCTAAGTTATCAATCAGAACCTCAATTGGACACTGATTTAAAATGGTCGGAGAGGTCGGAGAGATCAGATCCTGTGATTCCCTCTTACAAGAAATACACTATTAATCCTAAAATCAGTTACTTATTCTAATGCAATCTCAATTCTAAGCCTAATATAGTAACAATTTATTTATTTGTTCAAAGAGCTGACAGTCTTAGCCTGTCAACAGTCCTTTTCAGATCAAAGAGAGGATGGAATGTTCACTCCCCACTCGTGGAGGGACCGTCTGATTGATGGTTGGCATCTTGATCATTGCTTGGAGTTGCCTGTTGGCCACATTCTGGTTTTGGTGTCACAAATCAGGGCGGACACACCTTGCAGGTACCCATGGTAGTCCAGCATCTGTGGAAACACATGCATACCCACAGCCCCAGGTGATAAGCTCCCACGGCCCTCCCACTTATTAGTGGTCAGGTCCAGACTTTTGCTCGAGGCAGAAGACTTGTGGCAGTCCTGTGGATCCACCATTCTCATTCCCACGAGTCTCCTGGCCAGTCCTGGGGACACATGACTGAAAAGGTACAAGTTGAGCAATCCGACTCCCTTCTGGAATAGTGACAGGGAGGTGTGTGTGGAAACCATGGTACAAATCTGACCTGAAAAGCCAGAGTCATTGACACCTGGGTGAACAAAGATTCCTTGGTGGGTGACACTGGATTTTCCCACAAGCAGCACGCTGAGTCCTTGTCCTAAAGGTCCAAACACATCCAAAGGAACCTTATGTTCATGACAGGATTCTAAGATGACTGTGTTAGTGGTACATACATCCACGCCGGTGGAGCTGTGAGTGATGCCTCTGAGCTGGCTGGGGAGGCCTGAGCTGGCGCTGTGCCCCGAGGAATCATTTGTGTCAGGGCATAATTCCCCTATGCGCTCATTGTCCCGTTCCTGGGCCTGCCAAAGGCTGGCCATTGGCATGAAATTTGGCCTTGCATTGGTTTGAAAAATGACCTGCCCTTAGGCATCTACCACATAAGAAGGAGGCACCCGTCCCCGTAGGTTGGGGTGTTCCTTGCTTTCTCTTGCCCTTATTTTTGCTCCTCTTGTGTTGTCCACCCCCTAAGGGCATCTGGCCTGGCTCCAAGGCAGCCGTCAGAGCAGGCACTGTGTGGTGTACAGAACCTGCCCTGGCACACGCACAGACCATGTCTACTAGCGACGGGTCGCCTGGAAGAGTATTTATGATCTTCCGGCACTCAGTGTTGGCGTTGAACCGGGCAAAGGACTTGCACAAAATATCCCTTGCGGCATCGTCTTCAACCTGCTTCTCAAGGGCATCAGCAAGCTTCTCGACAAATGGCAGAAAAGGTTCATCTGCTCCTTGAGTTATTGTCATAAATCGTGGCCCGGGGCAGGCCAATTCAATAGTTCTTAACAATGCCTTAAATCCTACACTTTGACTCTGCTCAAGAACAGCATAGTCCCAGGTAGCCTGAAAATCAGGATTGGAAAAGGCCTGTTCTCCGAGGAGCATGTCCACCCCCACGTGATACCTAGGATCTCCCTGAGGCAAAAGCCTGTTGCCTTCTGCAGCCCTTTCAGCGGCCTTCCTCCACTTGTTCAAAAAAATATCAAACAGGAAAGGCTGGAACAGTACCCGAGCTATATATCTAATATCAGATGGAGCAAGCAGGTCTGCCTTTAGCTCTCTGAGAGCCCGCGTAATTTGTACGGAGCCAAGGCCATATTCTGCAACCTTATCTATCAAATCTATAACCACCTCCCAGGCAATCACATCATGCCTGACAGCGTGTCCTAAATTTGAGACAGCTTTGTAGGAAAAGGAGGGGGAAGCCCGCGCGGGGTGTGATGTCAGCTGGGACAAACCCCTGACGGCAGGTGCTGACGATGGCTGTGGCTGGGACATCTCCGCAGGGTCCATGGCTGATGACAAGGGAGCTGGCGGAGCGACCTGCGTGGTTGTGACGACCGCTGATGGCGGAGATGGCTCCGCCTTCACCCGCGATGTCTGCGAGGGATCTTGAGTTGGGAGCTGCAGCTCCTGCTGGCCGTGAGAGAGTCGGTCCCCGGCGTGCAGGGGAGGAGAAGGCGAGGCTGGCCAGCAGGGCCAAGCGGATTTTGGGGCAGTGCAAAGCTGTCCCTCTGCTCCCTGACAATAAAAGACAGGCATCACCGGCGAGAAAACTTATCTAGTTTTGTCACTCTCTGACCAGGATGTCACATCCACAGAAAATGCAATGGCACGGTGAATTCTAAAGTCTTTGGTGCACACAACAGTTTGGATTTATCTTCAAAAGATAAAATAAGGGTTTTGGTGTAGGGATTAGGGTTCCTTCTGTAGGAACTCACAGAAATTTTATTTGTTATAAGGGCTATTCCAAATCTTGTAATTGCCTGGGTGAATTGTGAATTTTGCAGCTGTGGTTTTGTGGGGTTGAAGTTCCCCCTTGTCCTTTTTGCGTTGTTTTATGGACCTGCCAGAATTGGCAGGTCTGAGTCCTGAAGCCAATTCTGCAGATCTTGCCTCGTGGGATTCAGTCCCCTCTGTGCTGTTTAAGTCTCAACTGTGGGTAAAAGAGAAAAAAAAAGGAATTGCATGTTTGAGTGCTGCAGGGTATACTGTGAGTTTGTTTCTTAGGAGTATATGTGTCTGCATGTGAACAGGAATAGGTTGTGTGTGTTTAGTCTCACCAGTATATGCAAATTGGAACAGGAACGCCTGTTATATAAAAGATCTTTAGTTGAAAAATTGTTTGTCTTAGGTTGCCATGCAAGATGTAACCAAAA